TTCAATCCAATAATTATTAGCCTCATGGCAATTTATTTTTGTTGTTGTTGTTATGGTTGTTGCTATATAGGGTATGTACACTCACTGGAAAGGAAAGAGAGAGAGAGGAAATGAGAACTCACCTCCCCAGGGGGGATGGCCATGCCACAACCTCTTCTCCTCCACTCTCCTCTCAGGATCTTGAGCATGCATGCACATGCCCAGTATTTTTTCAGGCAGCCAGGTTTGGGACTCAAAATGCACAGCTGGCCGTGTGGGATCCACCTACCTTAACCACCATACCACCAGCTGGCCAAACAATTTAAATGAACTAAAATTAAAAATTTAGTTTCTTGGTTGAGAGCCACTTTTCAACTGCTCAGTAGCCACATATTCTAGTGGGTAAGTGTATTGGATATTTTCATCATCGCAGAAAGTTTCCATCATTGCAGAAAGTGGAACAGTACTAGTATAGAAAATAAATATTATAGTATTTCAGAAGAGAAGGTGAGGTGCCTGTGAAGAATGTAAAATTATGCTAGGTGTTAATGATTGAAGGTGTACCCTGGGTAACTGGGCAAATAGACTATTTCCCAAGAAGGGAAGATAGCATAGGTAAAAGAACAGGAAATTATAATCATTTCAGTTCCAGACATGGTGAAAAGAGGTACCTGTTTGCTACATTACTGAAGCTGTCCAGAAAGCATTTAGAAATGAGGTACTGAAGCTCAAGAGAGGATTCTGGGTTGGAATCATCTGTATAAAGATAATCCTAAACCATGAGACCTGGTAAGGCTTTTAAAAGGGAAAATGTGGGGAAAAAAAAAAAAAAAGAAAAAAGAAGAGGAAAACCTTAGGTATGTTTGGAGAATTGAAGGTGAAAGAGGGGTCAAAAAATAAATGATCAACAAGGAGAGAATAGCCAAGATGATGAGCTACCAGAGGAGCAAAGAGAGATGAGAACAATGAGGGATTGATTTTTCAGTTTGACATACTGTAGAGATATAAGGACTGAGAGAGAGAGACAGAAAAGAGAAATAACTTGGTTTGGTTTGGAAGTCAGTGCTGACTTTTGACAATGCAGTGGCATGTTAGTGGCAAAATTCAAATGATGTGACTGGGCAGAGAGGAAATGGAGACAGATTTAAATAAGACTTTTGTGAAATTTAGAAGTTAAATAAAGTAGAAAATCAGTACAGAATAGAAGGGAAAGTGAAGGTTAAAAAAATTAGAGGAAGCAAGCTTGACTGAAGGCAAAAAAGGAATTACTGGAAAGAAATATAACAGTGACTAAGACAAATTAATTTCTGCTTCCCTGGTATATTTTCTTAACTATTCTTTTTTTCACCCATCTCTCTGTTCCTAACTCTGTCCTTAAAACCATCTACCTTCTTTCTTCCCTTTAATAATTATTCCACAGGCACAGATACTAACCCAAATTTATTAACATCTGTAGCAAGTGTTCTTTCTTGATATGTGTTCTTTGTTTCTACTTTAAATTTTTCAATTTTCTAGAGGGTGTGTGTACTCATCACTAAAGAGAGACAGAGAAAAAGGAAGTGAGAAAGGACCCCCTGTGGGGGATATCATTTTGAAATCTCTTCTCCTCCATTTCTCTGTTCAGGATTTTGGGCCTACATGTACAAGCATCCAGTGTGTTTTTTAAACTAATAAGTCCAGGACTCGAATTCCACAGTCAGCCATGTGGAATCAAGCTGTCTTAACCACCACACCACTAGTTGGCCCTGTTTCTGCTTTTTAAAAGTTACAAACACTGAATAAGCTTATAAAATGACCTTATTTATATAGTCTTGATTTCATTTCTAATAAAATATCAAGAGTTGAGTAAATGAGAAGGTCCCAAGTGACAGGAGCATTCTGGAGTATGGTTCCCCATTTGATGATCAGCACGTACTATTGTTTTCTTTCGAAAAAGTCCTTCTTGTATGACTGTAAGGTCTGTAATGACTTTACGTATCTGATCCTTGATGGCCTGACTTAGATATAAAACACATTTCTTACAGTTTGATATCATCCCCTCCCATTGTGTTAGGCTGTTAGTGTGATGCCAAGGTACCATTTATTGTGTCAAAGACAATACTTGTTATAATGTCAGGCTTTCTGTTAGAGATCACTCACCTATGTAAAAGAATGTCATAGTTACAAACCTACAGGCTCTTGGTTTAAAGTTCTTAGGGGGACCAGCAGGTGGCATGGTGATTGGGGTGCCGTCCAACTGCGGTTCACATCCCAGACCTGGTGGCTTGCTTTCTCACTTTCTCTCCCTGTCTCTCTCTGGTCAAATTTAAAAATAATAATAAATAAAACTGAATGAATAATTCTTTTTAAAAAAAGAAAGCTTTTAAGACTCATTCCATATAAATCAAATTAAACCTAGCCACTATTAATTGAGCAAGTTGGAAAAAAGACAGGTATGTACCTTCTCTTCTAATTCCAACAGAAAACATGACAAGAATTCATTAGGGAACGTATTTTGTGGTAGTAAAGAAAGTGGGACGATTCGACTTGGTAGTACATAGCCAGAGGCTGCCAGCTAACAGACTTGTTACGTTGCAAGGCTAGGACTTGCTACCTAGGAATTGTATTACATGGTAGTTATTCTCAGAGGAGTGATAGTCTTTTAAGGGAGTCAGCATTAGATATTTGAGGTAATTTTTGAGGAAAAAAATGGTATACTTCAGTGATTGCCAAATTTAATTATGTATCAAAATCATACATAGAGCTTTTTTTTAAAAAAAAAAATGCATACTTTTGAGTTTCATCCCTGAAGCTGCAGGGATGGTCTAGAAATCTGTATTTTTTTAACAAACTTCCTATTGTTTTTTATTTAGTTTTCAGAACTGTACTTGAGAAGCATGAAATTCAGTAAAACAATGAAGTGAATATAAGATAAACTTGGAGGGTGAGAGCTTCTAAATTTACTCACATTTAGTAAACATGTCCAAATGTCTAATATGTGCTAGGTATTATGCTATTTTCTAGGGCTACAAAGAAGAATAATACATGGTTTCTGCTCTTAAGCTTAGAGTCAGATAGAAGAGATATCAGCAAATAAATAAGACAGTATAATTAGTGAAATGATAGAGGCATAGAGGGTGTTATGGAAGCAAATAGGAAGAGCATCTAACTCTCCCTGGTTTGGGGCAGAGAGGAAGACAGGATCAGGAAGGCTTCACTGAAGTGGCTGAGCCTTTACATAATAGAAAATTACTCCTTATTTTCATTTGTATTGTTTATTTTAGTTGTTTTGGTTAGAAATCTTGCTAAAATTTATGCTACATTTCCCTTCTTTGTTAAACAGAACACATATAGTTCAACCTTTATACTGATGACTTGGCATATCACATGTTATCAATTATTTATGCCGTATAGCAGAATAGTGATATCTTTTATTGCAGTATACAAGATTGATTTACAGTCTCTAAAATAGTCCCTAACTGATATGATTTTCCACTTGTTATCCTGTCCTTTTGTCATCGTTAACAGTTTAATAATTGTCTTAATTTCAGTGTGACTATTTATAGAGTACTGCCTTTACCTGATTTTTTTCCTTGGCCAAAAGAATATGGACAAAATAATAGTGGATAAATAGTGTAAAGCATTCTGTTGACTATAGTATATGAGTTGGTGCATTTTATGACATCTTTTTTTTTTTTCTTTCATGAGTGGAGGACAGAGAGATGAAGAGAGACAGAAGATTAGGCACTCCTAACAGAGTCTTCCCACGGCCATTGCCCCACTGTCTCACCTGGCCCAGATCATGGGCATGCATGCTCAGGGAGATCCCAGGATTCAAACTCCCATGGGAATCCAGTTATGTTATCATAGCACTATAACCTAGCATCTATTTTAACTACTAAGCTATATTGTTTATTATTATTTCAAAGCCAGCAGATATTTTAGAAATCTCATAATACAACTCAATTTAATTATTTTTAATTTATGATAGTATGTGCATATGAGAGAAAGAGAGAACTCTACAGGTACACTTAAATTTTGAAAGAATCCATGGGACCAGCAGTTGGCATAATGGCTATGTCACTGGATTCCCATGTAGTTGACCACGGTTCAAGTCCTGAGCCTGGTGGCTTAAACTCACGCTGGGTGTGCACATGTTTGTGCCCAAGATCCCAAGAGGAGAATGGAGGAGAGGGATTGTGGCGTGACCATCCCCCCTGGGGGGTGATTTCTCGCTTTCTGTCTTTCTGTCTCTGTCTGTCTTTCCGGTGAGTGCACACACCTATAGCAGAAACCTCTCAAAAAAAAAAAAAAGGGACCAGCAGTTAGCATAATGGCTATGTTGCTGGACTCCCACGTAGTTGACCGTGGTTTGCATCCCGGACCCGGTGACTTAAACTCACGCCGGGCGCGTGTGCGTGCATGCCCAAGATCCCGAGAGGAGAATGGAGGAGAAGGGATTGCGGCATGGCCATCCCCCCTGGGAGATGATTTCTTGCTTTCTATCTCTCTGTCTGTCTCTGTCTGTCTGGCGAGCGCACACGCCCTATAGCAAAAACCTCTCAAAAAGAAAAGAATCCAGTCAGTTGGTGTATATTTTTCTGAGCTCCACATTCTGGTGGGTTTTAGCCATGAAATAGGGGAATATAATAACCGGGGTTGAAATTTTGCCAGATGAATACAATGTGAGAAGGATAGAGGAATGACTAATGATGGATCATGGAATTTATGCTTAGGAATTAAGTGAGGCTTTGGAAGTTGAAAGGGACCTGGGAAAGATGTTAGGATTAATTAATACGAGTTGGAATATCAAAAAAAGTGTGTTTGAAAGATAGGCAACAGTTATCAGGAAGTCAGAGAGTGAGATGTTGGTATAGCGGGTTATCGGAAAAGTTATGACCCATTTTTGCATGGAAAAACATAGAAAAATATGTCATGACTTCTGATGACTCAACAGAATGTCCAATGCTTTCAGCTGAAATGAGAACATTTATTCATTTTTTAGTGACTAAAATAATTATTTTAATTGATTGATTTGTTAGGTTCATGACTACAAAGAAGGAACTCCAGAAGAGAAGACCTACTATATAGAATTATGGGATATTGGAGGTTCTGTGGGCAGTGCCAGCAGTGTGAAAAGCACAAGAGCAGTATTCTACAACTCTGTAAATGGTAAAGCATTTCTTATTTCTACCATATTTTAATGGTCTAGAAATATAGGTTGTCTGATATAGACTTCTATGACATGACAGACTCTATCTTAGTTTGAGAAAGATCTGATAGGAGTTCAGAATTCTTGATTTAAATATGCATATAACATTCCAATTTGTATTTCTAGATTCTAACCATGTAATTCTATACATTAAACATCTGCTCTAAGTGTTTACATTATCATGATAAACAAATATATTGAGAAATGAAATTATCTTTGGGATACTTGATATAAAACATAACTTTCAGAATCCTGTCTCCTGGGAGTGTGTTTCTCCAGTTAGTCATTAAGTCCAGTAGGACCATAGGAGTGCCATAGGAGTCTTAAGCCAGAAGTCACAGAGATCGGGGGTTTCCTCTTACTTGTCTCTTAGAGAGAGTCCTGTGGAGTTATAAAGAGCAAGCTGCCTAAGGATATTTTCAGAGGTGCAGAAATTTCATGCCACTACAGATGTTCAGATACCAGGGACAGACTTCAGATGGAGGGTGTATAGTAGAGGCCGTAATCGCAGTCCATAGAATGCCTACTCTGTCACAGGACTAGAAACCACCTGTGATTTGCCTATAGAGTTTCTTTATCTCTCTGGCATTAGCGAGCCCCAGATCATGTGCATGCATGTGCGCAGCATACTCAGCAATGTCTCCAGACATGAACCTGGAACCCTCCCATGTAGATCAGCCTCATAGAGTGTCACATTTCACCATTATTCCATCATCTAGCCCTTTTCTCTTTTTAAAATAGATTGGTTTTGGTTTTGGGTTTTTTGGAGAGATTTTTGTGATAGGACGCATGCACTCACCGGAGAGACAGCGAGAAATTACTCTACCCCCCTCCCCCCAGTGGAGATGGCCATGCCACAATCCCTTCTCTTGCATTTTCCTCTTGGAATTTTGGGCATACATGCACACACGCCCAGCATGAGTTTCAAACCTCCAGGTCTGGGACTCAAATCTTAGTCAGACTCTAGTTGCAGTTAGCTCTGTGAGAGTCCAGTGATGTAACCATTATGCCATCTGCTGGTCCCTTAAAATAGATTGTTTTATGATCATTTTTACTGTGCAATAGAATTTCACCCTGTCTTTGATAAATATGCCAAAATATTTGACATCGCACCTCTTCCCTTCAAGTAAATGTATAGTCATTGATAGGACCTTATTTATGATATGCTTAGATCTCATTCAGTATTAAGTAAAAATTGCATCTCTTTAGTACTTTCCTTCCTTTTTTTTGAGAAGTTTTTGCTATAGGGCACATGCACTTGCCAGAAAGACAGAGACAGAGAGAGAAAAAGTGAGAAATCACCCCCTGGGGGGATGGCCATGCCACAATCACTTCTCCCCCATTCTCATCTTGGGCACACACACACACATGCACAGCGTGAGTTTAAGCCACCGGGTCCGGGACTTGAACTGTGGTCAGCTACATGGGAGTTCAGCGACGTAGCCATTACACTAACTGCTGGTCCCGTTATAGTCCTCTTTCAAAAGCTTTCTTTGTCATAAAGTATTGTGGATAAACAAAAAGTAGAAAAGATTCTTGCCATTGGATACATACCATAGGAAACAAGATGAATTATGTTAGTCTTTGAATTGTTAGGTCCCATTTAGCTCAGAATATGTTAAGTGAAATTATTGCAGTCTAAAAAAATAAAACATTCGTAAATGAAGAAAACACATTTATAAGAAAATGACATTAATATATGTCATCATCAAATAAGAAGTTCATATGATAACGGCATATATTAATAGAATGTATATAAATAAGAAAAACAGTGAAATAAAACTAATATAGTATGAAGCGACTTCGAGAAATGAGAGAAGAAAAGGAAACCTCTGTTAGACTTAGAATCAGTAGATAAATTTGTGTCAGTCAGATGACTTGTCAAAATAAATATCTGATCTGGCACAGGGAAGTTTAAGTATATATCTTTGTTGTCTAGATATTTTTAAGAAAGAATTTTTTTAACTAAAATTCTCAATAATGCAGGGTAAAAATTATAAACAAATTGTACAGGGCCAACTGCAATGACACAGTTGTAATACAGCATTGCATTGCTGAGAATATATGGTAATATCCCTGGTTCAAGTCCCAAGGTCTCCCTGGGCATGCATACATGTGCCTGTGATTCTCGCTGAGTGAGACAGGAAGTAAGATCACTGTTTGAAGATCCTGTTGAAGTTACTGTCTCTCTCTACCCCACCTTTTCCTTCACCCTCTCCCTCTCTTTTTTTCTCTTCCTTTCCCACGTTCTAAAGGAAGATATAAATAATTAAACAATAATATAAATAATACGAACACTCCTCGCCTAACGACCAAGCTGTGTTCTCTCCACTAGGTCTTTAAGTGAATTGGTTGAGAAGTGAGGCTCTTAAAGGCAAATATTTTGTGATGTGTCATGGCACCATAGGGTACATAGTTTTCATTAGATATCATACAACGTTGCACTAACATAATTCTATCCATACAAAAAGTATATATTAGATAAATACCCGAAAATGACAAGACACACCACAATATAAATACAAATATCTAGCCTCATCATTTTTATTTATTCTGAATACTACTATAGGTGCACAATAAAGTACAAATTTACAAACAAGATATGAAGTCTTGGATGATTGTGAATGCTTCCTGTAGTGAATACTAACCAACATTAGGAATAATACAAAGACTGAGAAAAAGGATTCCTGAGACTCACACAGACAAGAAAGGGGGTTTCCCTGTGTTAGAGAACTAGTCCTAAACTCAAGTGATTGTTAAACAAGTTGGTCATTAAGTAAGGAGTATTTGTAATGATAATACTGGTAAAGGCTACTTGCTTCAGCAGCACATATGATAAAATTAAAATGATACAGAGAAGATTAGCGTGGCCCCTGTGCAAGGATGACGTGCAAATTCGTAAAGTGTTCCACATTAACAAAGAAAAAAAAGACTACTCAAATACTAGAAATTGGAGTAGGTTGGGGCCTGCAGGTGGCATAGTGCTTAAGGAGCTGGACTCCCAGATGGACCATGGTTTGAGTTTGGACCAGCAGCTTGAAAATCATGCCAAGTGTGTATACATGCATATCCAAAATCCCGAGAGGAGAATGGAGGGGAAGAAATTGAAGTGCAGTCATCCTCCTTGGGGGTGATTTCTTATTTTCCTGTAAACTTATAAGTGGTAAAGAAATAATCTCTCTAAAGCCATACTAATTTATCTTTTCTATAACTACTATTCATTAGTGATTTGTCTTCTTTAATATTAGAAAAACTATAGATAACCTATGTTGGTTTTGCAGATAAGACTAATATTTATTTCCATTTCTTGAAGTTAAAAATAAAAATCTCTGATGTTTATTGAAAATTTATTTCTGTGTTCTTTTACCGTGGCTCTGGAGCATTTCTCTTGGTAGACGAACTCAAGGTTCTTTGTTCCATCTACTACCCCTGGTTTCCAAAGAAACAGAGCATAAGAATAACTCCATTCAAATGCACAATCTTTATTCTTTTTGTTTGTTTGAAGTTTATCCATTTATTTCTTCCATGAGGTGAGAGGAAGAAAAGCACTGCCCACAGGGTCTTCATGCCACAGTCTAACTGAAACCAGTCAGGATCATGGGCACACGCATCCCTGGTATGTACCAGGAGACCTTAGGACTACAGCCGAAGCCCTCCCCATATGACTTCATTATGAAGCATTGTTCTACTGCTGTATGACCATGGCTGGTTCTAATGCACGTTCTTCTTTTTTTTTTTTTTTTAGAGAGAGAGATTTTTGCTAGAGTGCATGAGCTCACCAGAGAGACAAAGAGACAGAAAGCGAGAACTCAGCCCCTGGGGAGATGGCCACACCACAATCCCTTCTCCTCCATTCTCCTTTCAGAATTTTGGGCACATACACATACACATGTGTGCCTGGCATGAGTTTTAAGCTGCCAGTTCCAGGACTCAAACTGTGGTCAGCCATGTGAGAGTCCAGCAACGTAACCATTACACCATCTGCTGGTCCTCCAACGCAGGCCATTCTTAGCAAAAATTTTCTTCCCTCAATATTTTACCTTCTTCCAGACTCTGATAAATTAGGTAATCTCAGGAGATTTATAGTGTTTCTACTTCTCTCCCTTCAGATTTTTGTTAAAGTTGACCTATTTCTTTCATGAAAGAGAGAGACAGGGAGACAGAGAGACAGGCACTCCCAACTAAGTCTTCGCCCTGCAGTCCACCCCAAGGCCAGCCAACCTGGCTCACAGGCATGCCTGTGTCTAAAGTGGTAGAGGCCTCAGGATGCATACCTGGACCTTCCTGTGTGGGTCCAATTGTGTTATTGCTGTGCTACCATCTTGCCCCTCCTTAAAATTAGAACATACTGTCCTCAACTGTCACTTAACTTCTTTCATCCGGGCCCCACTTTGGCTCTTCTAACTCATATTCTACAAAGTAATAACTCTCAGCCTAAATAAAAGAGGAAGAATAAAGAAAAAGGATGCTTAAATGATCTTCAAAGTTCAAAAGCCTTACTTAAGAGAGCCTAAAATCCTCCCTGTCTATGTGTCCCGACTTGCGGGACTGTCGAACAGGTTCCCTGGGAAAGGGAGTGAGCTGGACTGTCGAACAGGTTCCCTGAGGGAGGGAGTGAGAGATGGGACAAACACGCACACACACACACAGAGTGGAGACAATACTAGGAGCTGATCATGTCTTGCGTCTTCTAGTCTTCTGTTTATTGAGGAAAAATGGTGAGTTATATACAGGCTGGTGGGCATTGATCGGTTGCCCGAAATGCAAATGAGATAGAACAGTATGAACCAATCATTGGTGTGGGTGGATCTCTCCCGTTGCCTAGAAACCCAGCCTAGAAACCCAACCACTTCTGGGGAGAATGGTTGGTCACATGGGTTTGCTCAATAAGGAAGTGAAACCTAATGGTTTCCAAGATGGTGGATAGCTCAAGATGGCGGATAGCTCAAGATGGCTTCCGTATGCAGTGCCCTCCACATCTATGTAATAGCTATCCTAGGTCTATATAGTGCTTTTACTCCCTTACCAAAGGCCTCACTTAGTTAAGTAATATATATACTGGGGAAATAGAGGAGGGAGAAAATACCTGCCACTCATTTTTGGTAAAATGAGATTTCATTCTCCAAATTTTTTACCGTCAGAATACCTGATTGCTAATTGTAGCTACTCCACTATTATATGACCTAAGATAGATCACCCAACCTCACTAAGCCTCAATTACCTCATATATATAATGAAGATTGTTATAATGTTTACCTTATATGACAGTTTTGAAAATAAATAACACATATAAAGCACAGTATCTAGGTACTGAATAAATATTAGCTGTATTATTTTTTTAATAATAATATTTAAGGGATCAACAGATGGCATAATGGTTATGTTGCTGATCTCTCACAGTTACCGCAGTTCGAGTTGTAGACCTGGTGGCTTCAAACTCATGCTGAGTGCATGTGCGTGCATGCCCAAGTGTGGAGAAGCAGTCAGTCTGAAAACGTGATTAAAACATGTGGTCTGTAGACACATATGCAGAAATGCACTTTTGTAAGCTATTTTAGCAGGGCTATTGAGGAGCATTTACATACGAAAGCAGTATTTTCCTGTTGTCAATGGTTGTCTTTTTGTTGTTGTTGATATCTAATGCCCTGATACTGCCCAGTATCAGACTAAAGGAAGTCACATGCGTTTATTAGGTTGTTCCAAAAAAAATATTGGATAAATTTTATGGCTCCAGTCATTTTTACATCTTCAAACAATTTACATTTAAAAACAACTGGTTTTGCATTTTTATTTTTCTTGTCTTATTCTCTTTGCATTCCACTTCCTTTAGCTTACAAAAGTGCATTTCTGCATGTGTCTACAGACCACATGTTTTAATCACATGTTTTCAGATTGACTGCTCTCCACACCTAAGATCCCCAGAGGAGCATGGAGGAAAAGGGATTGCAACATGGCTATCCCCCCCGCCCGCCCCCGGGAGTGATTTCTCATTTTCTGTCTCTCCGTCTCTCTCTGTGTTTCTGGTGGGCACACATGCCCTGTAGCAAAAATCTCTCTTTAAAAAACTTAATATTTATTGCAATTTCTAATTTGCATACATAGACGTACATCTTTGTGATAGTAAAAACTGCAGAAGCCAAATAATTCTACCTCTGGCGCCTTTCTTTTTTAAATTGACATATCCCACATCTTGAAGATGGAGGAATTGTCAATTGCGTGTTCTCTTTCACAGTAGAACCTGGGTAATACAGGAAAGGATTGGAAGTTTTAAAACCTACAGTCTTCTGAAAAATAAGATGATATCCTAAATACTGTTAGACAAAAAAGCTATGCCTCTTTCATCTATATCTTATTTTAATAGTTGTCTGCTTTGCCTTTTGATCTAGGATCTTAATTTTACATTTGTATGTATGTCTATTTGTATATACAGATGTTTTAAAGTTTCTTTTTTTCTTTCTTCCATGAATGAGAGAGAGAGAGAGACAGGCATTCCCAACAGGGTCTTTACCCCACAGTCCACCCATCGTTTCAGCCAGCCCTGGATTATGAGCACATATGTCCAGCATGTCAGGGAAGTCTCCGGACACAAACCCAGAACTTTATTTTGTGGGCCAGCTTTGCAAAGCATTGTATTGCAACTGTACTATTGTCCAGCCCCTGTTTATATTTCTGGTCCTCATTACATTTTGTTATTTTTTTCATTATCTCAAAAGTCCTTGTATTTTTTTACTATTCATACTTCTTGACTATGTCTTTTTCTTTTGCTCTTTTAAATTTCTTATAAATAACCATTAATTCAAAAAACTAGAAAATTATACTTTTAAGGATCAGTCCATGGTGTGATAGTTGTAGCAGCTGGATCCCACATGGCTCACTATGCAATTTGAGTCTCAGGCCCAGCAACTTGGAAAGTATTCCAGGCACAAGTGCATGTATGCCCAAGTTACGAAAGGAGAGATGGAAGAAAAGGGATTGCAGTATGACCATTCCCCATGGAAATGCTTGTTCACTTTCCCCCTCTGTGTCTCTCTGGCAAACACACAAGCTCTCTAGCAATTTTTTTTTTAAATGAAAAGAAAATTAGGCTTTTGAGATGATTAAGTCCAGGTGATCCATAGGGCAGTATTTTGTCAGCTGAAGAATAACAATTATATCAAAATAAGTCAATACCATTTTTTATCATTTTTATTATTATTTTAGTGAGTATTAGAATTATGTATGCACTGATGTCTATGGCAGTACTGTATACAGTGGAGAACAGTGTAACTTAGTGAATGAATATAATGGATCATCAGAAGTCATGTCATATTTTTCTATTTTTCTATGCAAAAATGTGTCATGACTGTTCCAGTGACCTAATAATTTCTTATCTACTTGAAATAGCTTTGCATACCTTGATTGATGAGGTGGTTCTGCAGCTAGAACTAGAGTAGGTCCTCAAAAACTGTATAAGGTACCAGCAGATGGCATAGCAGTTACATCACTGGACTCCCACATGGCTGGCCGCAGTTTGAGTCCCCGAACCAGTGACTTGAAAATCACTCTAGGCATGTGTGCCCAAGATCCTGGTAGGAGAATGGAGGAGAAGGGATTGCAGCGGTGAGAGGGTGGGGTATGATTTCTCACTTTCCTTCTCACTGTCATCTCTCTCTCTTTCCAGTGAGTACACGCCCCCTAAGGCAAAAACCTCTCAAAAAAAAAAAAAAATTAAAAAGCATTGAATAAAAAAATAAGAAACAACATTCTAAAATTTAATGATATTTTGTCAATTCTAGTAGAATGAAAAAATGTCATATATCTGATAAAGTTTTATCATTAATTATTTATAAGCATTTGGAGAAATTTTTAAATAATTGTGTCTGGACTTGTTAGTCATATGGAATGCTAGATAAAATAAATAACCTAATGCTTACATTTACTAAGCTTCACTTTGCAAATTTTGAAATGAAGAGGAGTCACTACACTATTAACATTACTTTCTCTAATTATTTTAGGTATTATTTTAGTACATGACTTAACAAACAAAAAGTCATCCCAAAACTTGTATCGTTGGTCATTAGAAGCTCTCAACAGGGATTTGGTGCCAACTGGAGTCTTGGTGACAAATGGGTAAGCCCAGAATTACTTCAGATTGATTAGAAATGTCTTAACAGTCACAGTAATGTGCCCTCCAAAATAACATTTTAAAATGTTTGGTTTGCAAATATTTTCTCCTAATTTGTAGATTATCTTTTCCTTCTCTTAGCAGTCATATAAAGCAATAGTTTTTATTTTGATAATATCTCATTTTTTCTTTTATGAATTGTTCTTTTGCTATTATGTCAAAGAACTCTTCACTTACAGATTTTCTCCTGTGTTTCTTATATAGTTGTATACTTTAGGTTTACATTTATATCTGTTTTTTTTAATTGGCTTGGTATAGATGTAAGGTTTTAGTTAAGGTTAACTGTTGTCTATCAATGTCCAATTCTTCCAACACCATTTGTTGAAAAGATTATCATTCCTCCATTGAATTGCTTTTGTTCCCTTGCCACAGTTTATCGTATTTGTATGGATCTGTTTGTGAACTCTAAATTCTATTCCTTTTCTCTGTGTGTCTATCCCTTCACCAGTGTCACACTAGCTTGATTATAGTCACATGATAGTCTTAAAACTAGGCAGTGGGGGCCAGCAGCTGACATGGTGGTTCAGGCACTGGACTCCTACTTGGTGGAACAGGAATGAAGTCTCAGACCTGGAGGCTTGAAAATTACACTGGATATCTGTGCATGAATGCCCAAAATCCCAAGAGGAGAACAGAGAAGAAAGGATTGCAGCATGGCGGCCACTCCATGGGGAGTGATTTCTCACTTTCCTTTCTCTGCCTCTCTGCCTCTTTCTCCAGTGAGTGCACACATTCTATGGCAAACATTAAAAAAAGAAAGAAAGAAAGAAAGAAAGAAAGAAAGAAAGGCAGGCAGGCAATGTGATTCCTTCCACATTATTCTTTTTCAAAATATTTTAGCTATTCTGGTTCATTTGTCTTGGAATTGCATTAAACCTTTACGTTAAATTAGGAAGAATTGACATCTTTACTCTTTTGCATCTTCCAGTTCATAAAAAAAATGTTTATCTCCATTTATGTAGATCCTCTTTGATATATTTCATGAGCACTTCATAGTTTTCACCATACAAAGTCTGCATATTTGTTAGATTTTAAATTCCACAATATTCTATATTTTGAAAGCTATTATAGATGGTATTTTTTTAAAGATAGTTCATTTCTTCCATGAGAGAGAGATAGGTGTCCCCAAGATGATCCTCATGCCACAATCCATACCCACCCTCAGCCAGCCCTGATCATGGGCACACATTTTTGTACCCCTGGCATATACAAGGAGACCTCAGGATGAGTACCAGGGATCTTCCTTTGTGGCTTTTGTGCTACCACTATACCACCATAGCTGGCTCTATAAATGGCATTTTTTAAAATATTTCAGTTCCCAATTATCTGTTAAAAAAATAGTTAATATTGAGTGCTGACCTTATGTCCTGTGACCAGAGTTTATTAGTAGAATATTTTTCTATATAGACTTATTTCCTCCTTTTCAGTCTATATATCAGTTGTCTATTTTCTTGTTTCATTGCACTAGCTATGACTCCTAGTATACTTCTAGACACTAATAAAAGTGGTAAGAATGGGGACCAACAACTGGCGTAATGGCTATGTTGCTGGACTCCCATGTAGTCGACTGCAGTTTGAGTCCTGAACCCAGCAGCTTAAACTCCACACCAGGCGCGCGTGTATGCATGCCCAAGATCCCGAGAGGAGAATGGAGGAGAAGGGATTGTGGCATGGCCATCCCTCCTGGTGGGGGGGGGGGAGTTGATTTCTCACTTTCTGTCTCTGTCTTTCTGGCGAGTGCACGCGCCCTATAGCAAAAACCTCAAAAAAAAAAAAAAAATGGTAAGAATGGACCTTTGTGTCTATTCCTGATCTAAACAGTCAGTCTTTTCACCATTAACTGTGATGTCAGCTGTAGGTTTTTTGTTGATATCATTTATCAGGTTGAGAAAATTTCCTCCTATCTATATTTTGCTGATAGTTTTTATTAATTTTTTTATGTTTAATTAATTTACATTCATTCTCTGAACATTGTTACAACATACAAAATGTGATTTCCCATCCAGAATATACTGCATAGTGGCTTAATCATACATGTTATCATCATTAATTTTCCATTTCTAGTTTCATATACATATGTATATATACTTCCCTCCCTATTTTTCACCCTCTGCCATTTCCCACCCCCCTCCCACACTGCCTCTGGTGTTTACAGTTGTTTTCCATTCCTTTCCCCCCTACATTTTATTGATTCATAAAATTCCTTAAATAATCTAACTACTTTCAATAGCAAGTTCAACTGATTGTACTATCTGTGAATACTTGTCTGACTTTAGGCATGATACTCTGAGTAGAATGAATATACTATAAAGTAGCACCTAGCTGATAGTATATAGTTTACTAGGGTTATTAAATAGGTATTTTTTAATATGTTTTTTAATTTCAGGAAAAGTAGTTTTAGCTTTAATAAATCAAAGAAATGCTAAGAAACTTTGCTTACAACTTAAAGCCAGGAAACAGGTTAGGATTCTGTTCAAATAGTGAGTACATGAACCTATCGGCTGCTCAACACAGGACAAAAGTCCTTAAAACTAGAAAACAAAACCTAAGAGAAAATCAGCAATGTTTTAGTCAAAAGTCATAAAATGCTATTTCACCAGTTCAGTTTCATGTACTTAATCTATCTTCTGTTGTGGTCTGATCTTCTTGATTAAATTTTAGGATATGATATTCAACTCCAGACTTGTCCCTATGTTTAAACTGGTCAGTTCTTAGTTTTCGAACTCTTATTTCTGTGTGTCTGTATTTAATTTTTCTGGTATAGTATTCCCTTCATAACTTCTTGGAGATCTGATCTGGTGTTGGTAAATTTTTCAGGTTTCGTTTATCTGAGAATATTCTTGTCTTTTCTTCCCATATGAAGGATAATCTTGCCTGGTACAGTATTAATGGTTTAAATTGTTTTTCCCTTAACATTCTGAATATATTTTCCCATTCTTTCCTCGCTCGCATTGTTTCTGATGAGAGGTCTGCTGTTAGCCTGATGGGATATCCTTTGTGGGTATCTTGCCATTTTTCTCTTGCCAATCTTAGTACCTTGTCTTTGTCTGCGGTTTTGGTCAATTTGGCTGTAATGTGTCTTAGAGAAGATCTTCTTGGGTTCATTTGTATTGCTTGTGACTGGAACTTTGAGTGCCTCTCTAGATTGGGAACATTTTCTTGCAGGATTTCATGGAATAGATTATCAGTGCCCTTATGAGTCTCTTTGCCTTCTGGGTTACCAATTATCCAGATCTTTGGACGTTTGATGGTATCTAGTATTTCTCGTATATTATTCTCATTTTTGGGGGGCAATTTTCTCAGTCATCATGGTGGATTTTTCTAGGCCAGTGATTCTATCTTCTAAATCTGAGATTCAATTTTCTGTGTGATCTAATCTGCTTTTAATACTTTCAAGGGAGATTTTGACTTCCTGTATTATAGCCTTCATCTCTAACAGGTCCATTTGATTCTTTTTTATGGTGTGTATTTCATATTTCAGATCTTACAAGAATTTTCCTACCTCCTGGAACTCAACAGCCCTCCTTTCTCCTGCCTCTTCTGCAGTTCATTGTCTCTCTTCTCTTTCATCTTTTTTAGCTTTGTCACTATGAATATTCTAAATTCTTTATCAGACATTTTCATGAGTTTCATTGTACTGTCTGAGGATGAGGAGGAGTTATTCTTTTCCCTTGGAGAAGAGGTATTTTCTTGCTTTCCCATATTTCTTGTGACCCTGGGGTAATTTCTAGTCATCTGATGGCTGGTGCGTTTCTTCCTAATTCTTTAAGTTCAGTCTCAATGTTCAGAGGCATGCAGGAGGAGGTGATCTGCAATATCTCTTCCATTCTGTTTTTCACTCTTTGTGCATCAGATTCAGTGGGAATTGAGGAATATTCTGACCCTAATTGTATTCACATTTGTGGATCCTGTTCACTTGGACCTGTCTAGAACTAAGTGCATAGAGGCTGAGCAGCCAAGGAATAAAGATAATGAAAAAAAGGAAAAGAATTAGAGAAGAGGAAAGAAAAAGAAAAATTAAAATAAAAAAAGAAGGAAAAAACACTTTAGATTTTAATTTTAAAAAGCGAAAAACTGAAAACTGCTGTGAGCATGTGCACCACACAAAAGCAGTATTTCACAGATCAAGTTCAGTCGCCATCTCAGGACGGGCCTGGGTTTGAAGAAAGGCACAAATTAGCACAATAAAGAAGGGGCTTGAGGGCCCAGAGAATATTTTACCTTAAAAAATAAATAAAAATTTAAAAAAAAAAAATTAAAAACACAGGGAGATACAGAGACAGAGAAAGACAGAGAGACAGAGAGACAAAGGTAGTCATATCCACTAGAAATTAATCTGGAGGGAGAAGTCTCAGCAGAAAGTCTTCATTTTTAGTCATTGAAAGCAATATTTTACAGCTCACGTTCAGTAGCCATCTCAGGATGGGCCTGGGTTTGTGCTTTTCCCACTAGATATGAATCTGGAGGGAGAAGTCTCTCAGAAAATCTTCATTTTTAGTCATATCAGGCTGTTGATAGTTTTATCATGAACAAATGTTAAATTTTGTCTAAAGCTTTTTCTGTATTAATTGGTATGGGCATATGGATGGCTTCTTTAGAAACAGCATGGTGGATTGCTTTGACTAATTTTCAAATATTGCACCAGCCTTCTATTCCTTGACCATAGTGTATTATTTAGTTTATGTATTGCTGGATTTGATTTGCTAATATTTTCTTAAGGATTTTTGTTTATGTTCATCAGGTATATTAGTATGTAGTTTTCTGTTCTTAGAGTATCTTCAGTTGGTTTGGGTATGAAGATAAAGTTCACCTCACAGAATGAGTTGAAAGTGTCCCTTCCTCATCTATTTTCTGGAAGAAATTGTGTGTCATTTCTTTGAATATTTGGTTAAATTTATCAGTGAGACCATCTAGTCCTGGAGATTTATTATTTGAGAGGCTTTTA